AAAAAAAATAATAATAATTTAAAAAATCAAATTAAACTTAACTTGGCCCTTAAAAAAATCAAATTGACCCCAGATTAACAGGTTTATTTCTGGACTCTGTTCCATTGGATCATTCTGTTCCAATGATCTGTGCGTATCCTTATGCCAGCACAACACTGTCTTGATTAGTGTCGTTTTGTATTAAGCTTTGAAATCGGGAAGTGTGAGGTCTCCAATTTTGTTTTTTCAGCATTGTTTTATTTGTGGCCCCTTGCATTTCCATTTGAAGTTTAGGATCAGCTTGAATATTTCTACAAAATGCCAGGTGGGGTTTGATAGGGATGTACTGAAACTGTAGATCAATTTGGGAAGTATTGCTATCTTAACAATATTCAGTCTTCTAATCTATGAAATGTCTTTGCATTATTAGATATATTTTTACTTTCTTTAAACAATGTTTTGATATGATGTGTCACATTGATGTTAAACCAACTTTACATTACTGGGATAAACACCAGTTGGTCATGAAGTATAGTCCTTTTTATATGTTGCTGAATTTGATTTTCCAGTATTTTTTTGAGCATCTTCAACATACAGGCTGTTTTTCAACTTTGGGGCAACATCGGAAACTATTCCTTCATATTCCTTCAAAGTTTTTTCTGTCCTTTTGTCTCCTCCTCTGGTATACCCATTATGAGTGCATTTGTGTAGCACATTTCTCTAAGGCTCTGTTCATTTTTCTTCACTCTTTTCAAGTCCAGAATTTCCACCTGGGGTGTATATCTGTGTGTACTCTTTTACTGACATTTTCTTTTTGATGAGTCATTGTCATAATATATTCCTTTAATTATTTAAACACAGCTTTTTAAAGGTCTTTGAATATATTTATAATAGCTACTTTGAAGTCCTTGTACACCAAGTTCAACATATGATGCCCCTTAAAGGCAACTTCTACTTTTTTTTTTCCCTGTTTATGGGTCACACGTTCCTGTTTCTTTGCATGTCTTATAACTTTTTACTAATCTGAAGAGTTTAGGTAATATATTGCAGCAGCTCTGGAAATTGACTGCCCCACTCCAAGGTTTGTCGCTCCAAGGTTTAGTAACTCAGCTACACTCAATCTATTCCCCTGCAATGTGCAGTCTCTAATTTTCCTGTATTTTTTTTTTATCTTTAAACCTGGCTTCCTAAGGGTCATCCCTGGGTCAGAGCTGTGCTTAAGCCCTTGAATCAATAAGGTTTTCATTTTTGGCTGTTTGATCTGTGTGTCTTGGATACTGCTTTCGCACTTCAGGGACTTTTACAAGTTTGTCCCATATGTCCCATTAGTCAAGGACTAACAACAAAGCAGTTTCCTCTCCAGTTGCTCCTGAGAGTGTGGCCTTAGGTATGTGCACATTCTTTCATATCATCAGGCTTCCTTTGCTGTCTCTTTTGCTGATCTTCCTGATAAACTTCTGGCCGGTCTGCCTCTACCGGTATCATACCATGCTTTTGGCCACCACTGATTATTAGCTGACTTTTATTTTGGAAAATTCACTGGAGGCATAAATTGCTCCACAGTCCAAATAAAGTTAGGCACCTCAAGCAGGGACACGGTGTTGCTGGTCTTTGAGGTTTTCTATGACCCCCTCCTTGGCAGAACCTCTGTATTATGGAACAGTGTCCGGGAGAGATGGGAGCTGCCATTTGGCTTGCCAATCCCACTGGAATACCTCTTTTGTAACACCAACTGGAGCGGGTGGTGGTGTAGCCTCTAGTTAGTAATTGTAATCTCCTACTACTATTACTGGTTCTACAGATTTTGAATAAAATGGTTTTCAATTCCTTGTAAATCCTTTTATCATTCAACAGAGACTTCAAATGATTATCTTTGCTAATTTTGAACAAGTAGACAGATATTTTTCTGAAGAGACCTATTTTGAGCTCTGTACATTACCATCTGAAAGTTCTTTGCATTACAATTTCAACTGACTATGCAGAAACTGGTTATCAAGTTCGTGCATTTAATGTAGTGCACAAAGCTGATTACAAATAGAAAAATGAATTTCTAATTTTTAAAAGTTAAAAATGTTTAATTAAAAAAAATTACATACTTTATTCTCTCATTACCCCCGGTAACAAAAAGTTGCCTACAAATATATACAAGGGGAAAATACAGCATATGAAAAATTCGGTATTGTTAAATTTCATACATGATAATAACTGTGCTATTGTATCCAGGGCTGGAATACTCATAATTGCCCAGGATGTCAAACTATTAAATAGGTCCTTATTCATTCATACTTTCAGCACTTTTTACAGAAAGGCTCAGGCAACCTCCGTTCATTCAGAGAGTAAAGTATAGAAAATGCACATTACCTCGGTAGGCTACTGCCTTCTTAGATAGATAATCTTCCATTGCATTTCTTTAAGTCGTACTTTGATTTGCTATACAAAAGGTAGGAAATGCTTTTATATTGTTTTTCCCTTTTGGCTTCTTGATGAAACTTTATAGATTTTTCTATCATTTTATATGCCAAACCTTTGAAAAGTAGACATTAAAATCTAAATTTTACCAAAGAAGGAATCAAGAGATAAAGTATTTAACTGGCGTTTAAGGTCATATAATTCATTAATGACAAACCTAGAACTAGAAGCAATGGAAGGACTTCCCAACATCCAGCCTTTAGCTCTGTGTACCAAATCTAATTAGATACACTAATATTCTTCCTAGCAAGCTGAAAAAAATTGGTTTTATTGTTATATACTTAAAAGTAGACTTTAATTCACACGTACTATTATGCTCCTTGGAAAGCTATCCTTTTTTGAGTATTATGAAAATAAAGCACTGATAATTCAAGTCAACAATATATTCTGTTAAACATTGTTGCCCACTGTCTTAGTCAGATCAGGCTGCTATAACAAAAATGCCATACACTGGGTGGCTTAAAAACACCAGCAATTTATTTCTCACAATTGTGGAGGCTGGAAGTCCAACATCAGGGTACCAGTATGGCGGGTTCTGGTGAAAGTCTTCTCAGCTTGTAGACAGTTGCCTTCTTGCTATATCTTCACACGGTGGAGAGAAAGGTCATATCTTTCTTGTCTCTTCCTATAAAGGCACTAATCCCATTCATGAGGGCTCCATCTTCACGACCTAATTACCTCCTAAAGTCCCCACCTCCATACACCATCATATTGGGGGTTAGGGTTTTAACATATGAATTTGAGGGGAGGACACACAAATATTCAGCCCACAGAATGCATATTTATTAGAAACAGAATTTCCTTATGACTCTATTTAAAAACCTAAAAATTTAAATGAAAAGTAGTATCAATTAAAAAGAAATCTTTAAAAATATACTACCAATTTTAGATTCTTTTTTTTTCTTTACAGTAAACCATTTTGTGATATAAAAGGTAAAGAGAAAATTACTACTATGTTGATAAAAGTTATATGAAGCACCACAGACTTATCTACGTTTCTTTCTAGATCATGCCCAAGGCCTAGAGGAAGAAGTTATGATAAAAAGGAAAATAAAATGCTAGAAATCTAATAACTTTATCATTGAACATTAAGTCAATATTTATGTCAACAATTTTACACAAATACTAAGAAAGTATTCTTTTTACACAATTGAGATAGCAAACCAAAATTTCTATATTTTTCTAGAAATTTTTTCACCGAAGGAAAAGAGCTATTCTTATACAAATCTTGTTTTACTTAGTCATGAAGATCCTTCAAGAGTTTTCAAATAATTAGGTTTGGCTTATTTGTATAGCCATGTATTTAATCTTAAGTGAATTAAAACACTGATCAAGAGAACAATTGGGGCAAAAAAGATGCCCAGGGAATAATTATTGAACAAATGGCAAACCTAAGAGAAAAAGTTTTTTCTTCTGTAACATTAATTTACGTTTAGAAAAGTTTCTTCAATAATCTGAATATTGCTAGGAGTTAAATAATCAAATCCCTTCTCACAATGGAAAGTTCTATGTGATCTTAAAGATCAAAATATCATGTTCTGAAAAACAACAAAAACAGTTATTAGGAGTATAAAACTTAAAAAAAAAAGGATTCTCTATATGAGGTTACCTATTGGGGAAGCTATCACATTTACTTTGAAGCAGCTAAAGCTTTTTTCCAGGTATATAGGCAAAATTCCACACCATTAAATACTCCTTTTTAAACACTTTTGTCACTTGGCTTCCAGCACACCAGTCTCCTGACTTTTCCTAGCTCACTGGAGGGTTCTTCTCAGTCTTTTGCTAGTTCCTCCTCTTCTCTACTTCTTAATGTTAGTATACCCCAGGGCTCAGTCCTTTGTCACTTTCTCTTTCCTAGCTGCACTGTGATCTCATCCAATGTCATGGCTATTCACCAATGACACCCAAATGAATTCTGCCAGGTCTCAACTTGTACCTTGAACTCTAGACTTAGATATCCAACTGCCTACTCATTATCTCCAACCTAACATGGCCACAATAGAAATCTCGATTCCATACTTCTCTACATCCCTTCCTCCTCCAGTATTTCTCACTTCTGCATCCTAGAATTCACCCAGATGCTCAGTCAAAAGCCTAGGAGTCATCCTTTACCCTCTCTTTAGCTCTCCTTATACCCATCATCAGCAGATCCTATCTTCTCTACCTTTAAGTAGAGCCTGAACCAAATATCTAACCATCTCCTCATCAACCATACTAGTCTAAGACTCTTGTCCGGAATGCTGTAATAACCTAACTTGTCTCTTTCACCCTAAATCCTCTTCGGTCCAAACTTCACACAGAAGCTCTGTACAGGTAAGTCAAATTATGTTATTCTTCTGGCTCTCAATCCTTCTAATGGCTTCCCATTACATATCCATACCGAGCTATAAGGGCCTTCAAGAACTACTCTCCGGCTTTCTCTTATTTCATTTCTTACCATTCTTCTCCCTTAATCACTATTTTATATCCTTACAGGCCTCTCTGCTATTCTCCAAACAGTCCAAATAAGTTAATATTTTTAAGCCCTTTTAATTGACTTTACCTCTGCCTAGAATGCTCTTTTTTCAAATATTCACATGGCCCATGCGCTTATTTCATTAGGGTCTCTGCATATGTCACCAACTCAAACAGGCCTTCTTTAACCAACTTATCTAAAATTGCGACCCTCTCAACATTCTGTCGCTATTCCTTGCTTTTTCTTTATAGTACCTGATGTCATATATTTATTTACATTTTTATTATCTGTCTTCCCCAATGGAATATAGTAAATTCCACAAAAGCAGGTACTTTGTATTGGTCACAGCATGCAGAAGGCTATCTGGCACAAAGTAAGCTCAATAAATATGTATTGAATCAAAAAGTGAATGGATAAATGGGATTCTATTCTGAACATTTACCCAGTAATATTGTTTATTTTGTTTTGCTTCGAAAGAGAAAAAAGAACTACAAAAATGTAGTTCTTAAAAACAAAAATTGTTTGATTTCTCTCAAATGATATGAATTTTATTAAAAGGGAGAGTTATTCAGTAGCACTGAAGCAAAATTTTATAGTAAATTTTCAGCATATTTTAGCTATTATACACATTTTTAAGCTTCAGAATTATCCCTGAAAATAAAGTTGCAATTAATTAATTTGTGCCTGAAGACTTAAAAAAGGGATATATACACAGACATACAAAATAGAGCAATTTCATGAAATCAAACCAGTAATAAATAGGAATGTCTCGATTATCCCACAATTCTCTCCTCTTGCTTCTCTCATCAAATTGCTACCAGTGAAGGCCAACGAATCTACCAACTACTTAGAGCCAGCTTTTAGAGTTAGTAATGTATCCTGTTAATCTGGTGTTGGTACTGCTGTTCACAGTAAGAAAAGTGGCAATAAAGGGAGGGAGGTTGGAGGAGGAAGGCAAAAAAAGGCAAAGGGATTAAGAGGTACAAAAAGCATAGTTGCAGAATTGACATGGAGATGCAGAGTATAGCCTGGGAAGACGGTTAATAATGTTGTAATAAATATGTAAGTGGGGATCACTATGCTGTACATCTTAAACTGGTATGTTATTGTATGCCAACTATAATTGGAAAAAAAACCTCATTGATTATACAATGTAAATACAAAAAACTAATTGTCTATTGTATTTCAATAAAGCCAGAAAAAAAGTGGCAATATCCACAGAGGTTTCATGGAGGCAGCAGAGTATTTTGCATGAATATGTCCATCGTTTAACTGTCACTGTATTACTTGTTCTCTTTCATCAAAGCAGCTTATACTCCACAATGTGAAAAATCTCAGCACATGACGATGTATCTCTTTATATAAAATTTGTTAAAAGGCAAAGCTTAATAATGAAATCATTTTTCACTAGTAGGCTAAAGAATTTAGATCCTGAAAAACAAAATTAACCACATCAAAGTTCTCCTGAGCCATAGATAGAAGGCCAGTCTAAGCACTCACTAAGAATGTCAGTCTGCTGGTGAAAAGAATTTGGAAACTCAAGTTGAGCCAGTTGGCCTCTCTAGCAACAAGGAAGGAAATTAGTCCAGTATGCTCGGTTTGTTTCTGTCAGCATTCATTTCATGTTGATCATGGGATTTATACTCTCTGATCAGGGGACAGAAGAACGATGAATACTACTTCTTATGAAAAGTTTCAAGCCTTGTAACCCCTCTGAAAATAAATAGTCCAAATACCAGTTCCATTTCTTTCCCTGTAGGCACAAAAAGGGGAAAATTACTCATCAAATATTTACTATGTTTATTCTCTACCTCCTCTTCTTTGCCTAGGAAGAGTTCCCAGCATCTTGGGTACACATATGAAGAGTTAGCTCAGAGGAGACAGGTTCACAACTGGAACTCAATCATTAAGTAATATTCAAACCAGAAAGCACCCAATGTTTAAGGGCTAAACATTCTTTTTATTGCACTGGCAAAAAAATTTAGCTGTTCAACTGAGTAAGTACTGTGAAATGGAAATGGGTCATCATTCCCACTCTCTAGGAATTCAGCATCTAAAATAGATAACATGGGAACAAACATTATGTTAAACATGAACACAGCAGAGTTTCTGTAATAACAAGACAACTGTGTTCGGTTTTGTTGAATCAGCCTTATTATAGTCACACTTTGAATACATGAAACTGCACTCTAAAATGAGACACACGGTCACAATAACAAGAGTCAAACTATGACTAGTTACATCTCTAGATAAGACTATAGAAACTATGTGCCAATAAATTCACATAAATTAATTCAAAAAGCAAACACTTTACTTTGATTTTTTGGAGGCATCAGACTTAAGATCTGAAGAAGAGTGAAAGTATAAATTCTTTTGATGATATAAAGTTGTATAAAATCCCTGAACATGATAAAATAAATTTATTTACCCGAATAGAGCTCATGTTTACTGTCCTTTCTTCTGGCCGTTCCTTAAAACACACACACACACACATAAAAAATAAATTAAAATAAGGAAGTAGCATCATATGGAGATGAAAATATTTGGTTAGCAAAAATTACCAGAAAATTAAGATGGCTATTTACTGTCTGATTCATTTGCTACATTCTGTTCCTACCATCATTCTTAGATTCTTCTAAATAAACATCTGCTATAACCTTCCACATTTCTTCCTAGAAGCACAAAGAGAAGGAAAATAAAATCACAGATGCTAAAGTGGGCACCATTTTGCTAATCTATGGCCTCATTTTTTTTTAATTCTGTGTTCAGCCACTGGGATGAAGATGGAATTACCAGAGAGAAGGCTTTTTCTGAGGAATAAGATACCCAAACTGAGTCTTGAAGGATGAGGAGGAAGTCTGGTAAGGCAGTCTGTGTGCACAGAAGATTCTATAAAACTCTGTAATTCCTTATGAAAACTCAGACTTAAGTGATCCCATTTATTCCCTGGCCTTAACTATCACCATATTTTACTGAAAAGCCATCAATTCTAAAAACATTTCTATACATCACTAAGAAAAAACTCTGTTACTAAACTATATATAACACAATACCTTCTTGACACTTAGAATTTTTTATTTTATAATAACTGAAAGTTTTAGATGTAGGCAAATTTTGTTCATATCATTTTTATAAACATGAAATGGTAAATATATACAAAATGAAGTAGTAAAAGTATTTCTAAACTTTACATTCAGACTCCAACTCTTCTTAATTACATTTCTACTCAAAAGTTGTGGATATCTATGTTCTCACAATAGCATCCTCTGTGCCAGAGTGTTGATGATGCAGCATTTCTTAAAAGAACTAAAAGCTATTGGTGCTGGGGTCCCAGTTACATCAAGTTAACCTACTTTTGGCTCCTGTTTCAAGAAAAGTCCATAACATGTATGGTTCACCACTTCCCTCCCCTCTTCCTCCACGTCATTTGGTTTCTGAAACTTAAAACAGCGCTCTAATATTGTCTCCAAAAATTTTTCCCAAGCTGCTGACATCCATTCTACAAAGTCTGATTCTGGCAATCTGCCTATGCACACGCAAAAACAGCAAATGACAACTATGTCATGATTGCTGCCTGGCTGACATCAATCAGAAAAGATGTATCCTGATCTCTGAGAAGTTAAAAAGTGTTTTTGGAACTGATGAAATACAGTCCATGCTGATGAAGTCCATATATATTTTTCTAGTTCCAACCCCTCAACTGAGCTCCAAGCCCTCATTTCAAACCACCTACTTACATTTCTTCTTAGATGTCTAACAGATACCTCAAACTTACGTAGGTTAAAACAGAACTTGATTCTCAACTTGCCTTCTCTCAATAAACAAAATAACCTCTCCTGTTTCTACCTCTGTAATACATCTCAAATCATTCCACTTCTATCCATCTCTACTACCACCACTTGAATACAAACCAATATTAGTATCTCTTATCTAAACTCTATCAATAGCCTCATGGTTGGTGGCCCTGCTTCCACCTGGGCCTCCTTTTATTACTCTTATCCTCCATGAAAAAGCCAAAGTGATCTCCATTAAACATCAACTCAGATCATACTACAACTCTGCTTAAAAATCTTTTGTTTCCCATGTCACTCCTAACAGACATGCAAGATAGATGATGGCCCCTGTATTTCTCCAACTTTATCTCATTCCATTTTCCCTCTTGTTCTTGAACCACTAAGTCAAACTGGCCTGCCTTTTCCCCTTGAACCCCTTGAGCCATTGTTCTGTTCTCAATGCCTGGAACATTCTTCCAGCTATTCCTAGGCTGGCTTATTCTCATCTTTAAGAAGAAATCTCAGATCAAACATCACCTCTGCAAAAAGGCCCTCTTGAACACTCATCCTCAACAACTCTCCAGTCACTCTCTCTCTCTCATCCCACCCTGCTTATGTCCCTCACAGTCTTTCTCAAAATTTAAAATTATCATGTCTACTTATTTCATTACTTGCTTATTGTTTGTTCTCATTAGCATATAAACTCCATTTGGGCAAAGATGGCATCCATTTTCTTAAGCACTGTATTCCTAGTGCAAGATATATAATGGACACTAAATAAATATTTGTTGAATGAAAAGAACAACTAGCTATTAATTCAAAGGTAATTTATGATAAGAAAACCTTCAGGCTCTACAAATGTTCACAATATCTCAACTCATTAAGAGAGCTGAATTCTTTGATACTGAGAACTGATTGGCCAAATTAAACTACTGAATCATCTCCCAAAATCTGGCTAATTTAAAATATTTATAATGTGATAATTCAGTAAAATAAAATTGCCAAAATTAAATCATACTAACATGGTATCAGAGGTTATTTTTACCACCTCAAAAGTAAGCTAACTTAGACAGTGAGATATTGGTGATAATGAAGGCAAACTCAAAAGGCACTCTTTTAAAAGAAAGAGCAGTATTAAAGCCTGGTATTTTCAGAACCATATATAAACATCATTGATTACAAAAATGGCAGCTTCACCTTCTGCCAAATGTGCTCTATGCCACTAGAATTTAACCTTCCAGAACCAGCCTTCCTTAAACATTTTAAAAACCATTTTCTCATTTAAAAGAATATATCGATTCTTGATCCCACAAAATAAATTTGCTTACCTATGTCCAAGTTGTTAAAATTTACTACTTTAGAGACTGAGCTTTATAATTAACACGCACACACACACACACTGTCTAGGAGAAAAAAAAAATTGGCTTATGAAAATCAACTCTACTCCTATGATTCATTACATGCTTTTCCAAATAAGAATTGGATGCAACTGTGTTGACAGGGTATGGAGAAATGGACACCCATTCATTGTTAGCGGTAATGTAAACTGGTGTAACCTCTACTGAAAGCAATTTGACAGTACCTAGCAAAATTAAAAAGATATATCCATTTGAAAGCAATTCCACTTGGAGCAATTTTATCCAGTAAACACACCTGCATATGTTTGAAATGATGCATACAGTTCAGGAAAATTCACTAAAGTATAATTTAATAGCAAGATTAGACACAATTTAAATGCTCAACTTATAAATAATATGTTTAACTTATGTTAGCGCCATACAATGAAATACTACAGACATCAAAAAGAATGAAGCAGCCCGTTATGTACAAATAGTAAATGAAAGCCAAGATATTAAGTCAAAAAAAATCAAGAAGAAAAGTATGTATAGTATATAGTTTTGAAAAAGATTATTTACACAGAAATATACAGTATGTCTCTGGAAGGATATTTAAGAAACTGAGAGTGGTTGCCTTATCATAAAAAGTGTCCACATGGAGTTGCTCTCTCAGGATGAGATCATGAGGAATTCTGGGGACCCACTCCCCAGCAAAATGGGCAAAGCTGACAAAAACAATTTTTAAAACCCAGCACTTAATGTCTCTAGAAATTGTCCTAAGGACATACAGCAAACATAAAAATATTTATTCAAGAAAAATACTAAAATTCCATAGGAACAGAGAGTGTGTGGGTCATGGGAGCCATGACCTGTTTCTTCCTAGTGAGTATGGCCGAGGAGTCAGGGCTGTAAACACCTACATTAAAAATAAAGGAAGATCTCAATTCAATAATCTAACCTACTGTCTTAAAGAAACTAAAAAAGGAGGTAAAACTAAAACCAAAGCAAGAAGGAAGTAAATTATAAAGATGAGAGCAGAAATAAATTAAATAAATAAAGAATATAAAAAGTCGCACGATTTGATTTCAATACTAAAAAGTTACATTAAAACGATGTGGTATTAGCATGAAGACATACAGACCCATAGAATAGGATAAAGAGCTCAGAAATAAACCCTCATGTATATGATCAAACGATCTTTGACAAAGGTGTCAAGACCACTCAAAGGGGAAAGAATAGTCTCTTCAACAAATGGTGCAGGAAAAACTGGGTATCTACAGGCAAAAGAATAAAGTTGGAACCTTACTTTACATCATACAAAAATTAATTCAAAATGGATTAAAGACCTAAATATAAGACTTTAAATATAAAATTCATATAAGAAAACATAGGAAGAAAGCTTTATGACATCGGATTTTGTAATGATTTCTTGGATATAACATGAAAAGTACAAGCAACAAAAGCAAAAAGAAACAAAAAAATAGCCAGTAGGACTGCATCAAACTTAAAACTTCTATGTATCAAAGGAATCAACCAACAGAATGAAAAGGCAACCTACGGAATGGGGAAAATTTTCTGTAAATCTTGTATCTGATAAGAGGTTAATATCCAAACTTTTTATATAAAGAACTCCTACAATTCAACCATAAAACAAAACCCAAAATAATCTGATTTAAAAAATAGGGAGAAGACTTCAAAAGACATTTCTCCAAAGAAGATATACAGATGGCCAATGAGCACGTGAAAATATTTTCTACACCATTAATTATTACAGAAATGAAAACGAAAACCACAATGAGATACCACCTCATATCCATTAGGGCGGCTATTAAAAGACAAAAACAAACAAACAAACAACAACAAAACAAAATAATAAGTGCTGGTGAAGACATGGAAAAACTGGAACCCCTGTGCACTACTGGTATAAATGTAAAATTGATATGGAAACGTCTATGGAAAACAGCATGGTGTTTTCTCAAAAAAGTTAAAATAGAATTACTATATGACTCAGCAATTCTACTTCTGGGTATATAACCAAAGGAACTGAAAGCAAGGACCTGAACAGATAATTTTATAACCATGTTCACAGCAGTTATTATTTACAATAGCCAAAAGTTGGAAGTAACCAAAGTATCCATCGAAGGATGAACAGATAAACAATATGTAGTATATACATACAATGGAATATTATTCAGTCTTAAAAAGGAAGGATACTCTGACATGCTACGATGTAGACAGACCTCAAAGGCATTATGCTAAGTGAAGTAAGCTATTTACAAAAGGACTTATATGAGGTATCAAGAGTAGTCAAACTCAAAGAGACTGAAAGTAGAATGAAGATTGCAAAGGGCTGTGGGGAG